ATGTAAAGGGGAACGTTCCTGCGAGCGAAAGAGAGAAATATATAGCGAGCGAAACGAGAAATGAAACGTCGAAATAAGGGATGAGAAACGCAAACAGACAAGTAAACAAACAAACAAGTAAACAAGAGTTCCGAAAATAGATTCATTTTCTAGTCAGACATTGTCGGTGAACAGTGCCTTATTGACCCGATTCCACTTGGAGCGTTTCGAACGTAAATGCTTACACGTGACGAATATAGAGAATAACGAAGACGCGAAGACTTTTTTGCGAAACGATTAACTTCATTTAACTTCGCCCCCTTTTGTTGCGATCGAGAGAAAAGAAAAAAACAGAAAGAAAAAAAGAAAAAAAGACTAAAAAGGAATAAAAAAATAAAAAGAAAACCATAATAATAAACCGAGAAACGTCCACGCACGGCAAATTTTTATCACTTTTTTTTTTTTCGCGTTTTGTTTGCCCCCTTTCTTCTGTGTCTTCGAAGACTTGCCAATTTCATCACAAATGAACGATGAGCCATCCGGGATAAATATTTTTAATCACGATAATCACCGTAATCGCGGTTCATTTCTTTTTTTTTTCCTTTTTAATTTAATTTTAATTATTATTTTTCGTTTTTTTGTTTTTCGTTCTTTATTTTATTTTTTATTTTTTAACGCGCACCAGCAGCGTTGTTGTAAACCTTTTAATTACTTTTCTAGCGTGTAACCATGTTTCCTTCTTAGTTGTAGTAGATTCTAGAAAAGAAAGAAAAAGAAAAAAGAAAAAAAGAAGCGGAAGAGATATGTTATTAATTTCCTCCCCCGCGATAACTTCGCGTAGAATCTTCGAGATGTAGAGTCGATAAGATGAAAATATATAAAGTATAATAAATACGTTGTTGAAATTTCTTGTCGCCACGCGACTTTTTTTTCTTTTTTTTTTTTTTTTTTTGTTCCGTTTTGTTTCGAATATTATTTTCGTTTGTTGCGACACACCGGAAATATCGTTCCTCCGATTTATTATCGTACTTTATATGATGATATCGATGTTTGTTCTATATATAGTATATATATATATATATATTACGCATATAATATATTCTAAATATATATTTTTTATTTTCTAACGCCAACGATGGACGGATACGTTGCTCGGCCTAAAAGTCACGTCACGTGCGGTACAATACTCGTGCGCACGTATGAACTTGCCTCTTTCCCCCCCTCCCCTCCCCCCTCTCTTTTTAAGTAGAATATTATTAGTCCCTTTGTTTTTTTGTTCAGCCG